TGAATGTCATCTTGTTTTCTTCTTAGTCCTCCTCCTGCTCATTTTGGAAGCCCACTCTTCCACTTTCAGCAATAGCTGCAGTTCTCCACAGGTCTTGGGGCGAGGTCCCCATCATGGCAGGGCTTGATGAGGTGCCCAGAGGTGGTGCTCTTTGGGTCAGGGAGGAGCTGGAGATAGAGCCTCTGAGACTATCCCCCTCCCAAATGCCATCTTCTGCACAGTCTCCTCTAACCTGTGAACTCCAAACCCCTACCTTTCATGCCCAGGAAGCCAGTATGCTCACTTTGGGATCTGACTTACCAGGACTTCTGTCACCTGCAGGGTGTGCCTGACCTGGTGGTTCCCAGATACGGCCACAGCCACTGCGCGGCCCTCCTTGCCCCCTCTCTGCCTGTGCTTTCCTTTGCCTCTCAGGTGTTGTGTAGTGCTGACCTTGTGCATGACAGGAGGCACTAACAAGGAGCCAACTGGGCTGACAGAGGTGGGACGTGACAACTGGACTGCAGAGGTGGGACATGTGTCCTGCAGGAGGAAAGGACACACAGGGCTGAGAGAACAAGGGAGCTCTTGACCATATCAGCAGGCATGAAATAGCCACCAAAAAACTGGAAAACAGATGACCTCCAGAGAAAATGAGGACAGTGATCAGGGCAGGAACAGCAGGTTTAAACTGGCCAGCTTGTGACCCCACTCTGGAAAGCATGAGAGCAGAGGGGGACAGTAATGAAAGACATCAGGAAACACCCAGTCAGCAGTGCCATAGCCGAGGTGCCCGTTCCACTAACTGGCTCACAGAAGCAGCAGGTCACACCTGGAACCGGGCTGCTTCAGATCTCAATCTGCACAGAGACTATGGCTGCCACAGTGCCGCAGACTTGAGGACAGAGACTTCCAAACGAGAATTCTGTCCTCAGCCAAGCTCCAGTTTGGTGTCGTGGCCAACAGTGTCCATACCCACATGTGCTTGCTAGAACCCAGAGACCAGGGCCACTGCATCGAGAAAGGACACAGAGAGGAGGGGGCAGAGTCCTGACATGGAGTGGAGACAGGGCACTAGAGACCAGCCGTGCGCCAGGAGGAAGGGCGGCCGCCCAGCAGCACAGGTTGGGAACCACAGGCACAAGTGAGAGGCGTGAGGAAAAAACGTAAGTCACAGAAGAAAATAGAACCACATGGCACACTGTCTCTCTGAGCTCCGAGCAGCACACCACCACGGGAATGCCAGAAGCTTGACTGACCCGGAGCACACCACCACCAGGTGGGGAGGCTAGGTGGCAGTGGCGGCGGAGGGTGGGCAGCGGAGGCCTCCTGTGTCTGCGGTGCGTCCGGATGGGGCCGGAGCGCTGGCAGGAGGCCTGTGTTCTCATGGTCCTGGTGGCACCTCAGCAAGCAATGCCTGGTCCTGAGATGCCAGGACAGAGTGAGGATCTTGTCCTTTAGCTCCTCAGGGCAAGCACCTGAAGAAACACTCGAGCTGAAACTTGTTTTCCTCTAAGAGTGAGATCACTGTTGCTCCTGACCCTTAGAGAACACAGTCTAGCTACTGAAGTAAACTTACACAAGAGCCCAGCTTCCAGTCCCCGCTGTCCACCTCTTATCAGCTGTAATGAGCCAGCAGTTCCAGTTCCTGTGCCTACTTTGTCTAAGGACATAGGGTGCGAGTATTCTATAGACCAAGGAGGAGCAGAACAGCTCTGGAAGCTGCTGCCAGATCTCTGAGAAGGGAAGACCTTGTACAGTGACTAACCCTCGCATCACCTGGTCACAGCCACCTGGGCTCTGCCACCCACATATCACACCAGTGGGTTCTGCTCATGAAACCCTTTCTGGCTCACACGCACCTTCTGCACCTGTTGCCAGCCAGCAGGTACAGTGAGCAGCATGATGTGCAGGTGAAACACCTGGTGTCCCAGGCAGAAGCTGTGCCGGCCACCACAGTCTGGGCCTGTGTTCATTATGTGAGGCCTGCAGATGGAGGCGGAGAGCCAGCGTAGCCGTCTGTCAGAGGCGCGGTGAGAACACAGATGGTGCAGGTGTTTCCAGGCCGCAGCACTCAGGAAGTAGAGTATGTGCTGTGCTCCAGTAATCCAGCTGAAAGCCCACCTGCAGAGACCTGTCTCAGACAAGGAGGCACCTGAGACTGACAGCTGCTCAAAGCCCACAGACTCCGAGTTCTCCCTCTGCAGCTCTGCTGCCATGATGTTGGAGGGGCACGGCATCTGTTGGAGGCCAAGTTGTGCCAGGCATGAAGGTGCTTTGCACACTGTCTCATTCAGCTCTCATAAACCTCTGTAAGTCTGCTTGTTTTCAGATTATAAAAGGATCAGAATAGAAGGTCACATGATTAAATGGCTGAACCAGAACTAAATAGATCCGTTGATCACACCACCTAATTCAATCAGTCTTCACCTCTAATTCATTGCCCTCTCCACCAATCCACCCAGCTATATATCCTGGTACAGTTCTCCAAATACCCTAAGCTAAGCCAGAACATGAAAAAGCACCATACTAAGAACATCACGTGAGAGAGACATGGCAGGTGTGTTGGCTCACTGCAGCAGGTGGTCACCCAGCTACATTCTGCTACACACTCAGAAGCACACCTGAGATTGGTCAGGGCGTGCCTGACACCCCTTCCTTTTGCAGCCAAGTGTGACACAGACTCTCCGCAGTGCTGAACACACTCCAAGGCTGAGATTCCAGACAGAATGGGACGAGGCAGAGTGGGAACGTTGCTAAGGCTGCTGGACTCCATGTCCGCCGCTGTCTTCTCTTCCCTGTAGTCACCTACAAGAGGCATCCTGGACTAAGCTGGAGAGGTGTGAAGCACACAGCCGGCCCAGCCAAGGGCCCTCATGAGAACAATGCATGATAGTGGGTTCAGAAACAAAGAGCTGCAGTGACAACTGAAATCTTTTTCAAGAACATTTATACATCTTTTTAATTAGATTAGCTTTACAAGCAACTCCAGCGTTCTTCATAATGAAACACTGCTTTTCAAATTACATGACTTTGTAGTCTATCCTGAAATTCTTTGCCTGCTATTGCTAAAGGTCTGTGTTTTACAGCTGGTTAATGTGTTGAAAAAACAGCATTTTGAAGCTTTATCTTTAACCAGAATTAACACATATAGGCCACAAAGAATTTTAAATAGAGTTCTACTTAGTGACAGGTTAACAGTCCCACTAACATGAAATGAATAGATTTTAAATGGATATTAAAGAAATGGCTATGCTGATTTCTTGATCTTTTCACAATGTATCACCAAGAAAGTATATAAACCTCTCCAAAAAATATACAATTTAAGACCTGTCTGGTAAGCACAACCCATAGACAGTAGAATCTGATACTTTGTACACCTGCAGAGGTATCCATCTGAAGGACAACAGTGCTCCCAAATTAAAAGGCTATTGCTGTACGTCTTGAGGATCCAACAAGCCTTCCACCAACACAGAGCAGTTCCTGCCAACGCTGCATAACAGAGCTTGTAAGCCGGGCCAGAGGTGGAGAGGGGTGCTGCAGGCTGGATGCCAAGACTCGGACATCCAGGCCGGCATGGGCACTTGCTGGAGAGGCGCCGTTGATCATCTGGAGTAGAGGAGAAGGCAGGAAAGGACTGAGCCTGGGAGAGGAAAGCACCACCCTTTCTCCCACGAGTCCTGCTGCGTGAAGTCACAGCTCTGAGCATCTGGTCCCCCCAGTTCACACTGTCAGTTTCTCTCAATTTTTTTCATGTTTTACATGAACGATAGTAATCTTTTAATAAAAATTACTGAGCTTTCCATAGAAAAGGTCTCTAATTGAATACAAACTATATAGATGCTAAAATTGTCATAGGTTGAAATATACAGAAATATTTCTGTATACTTGTATTTTGGCAAAGAAAATCAAGGACAGAGATAGAAAACCCAAGGGTGCAAGGTCTTACACCTAATTCATGCAAAATAGGGATACCATCCTTTGGGCTTTGCTTAAGACCAGGGAAGTGACGCATATGACACCCATCCCAATGCAGTCTTTAAGAGGTTTGGGAAGCTTGTGTGATCTTGTAATAATCCCTCTTTTTCTAAAAAGTAAAAAAGAAAATCCATGAAACGTAAAAATATCTGATTTTGTGTTCTCTGCTTTTCTAAGCTAATCTTTCAGGGCTGGTAAGGAGGCCAAGACATTTGGGGAATGCCTCACGGCTGGGCAGGGCAGCCAGTGGGCGGAGTCTGTAGCCACCCTTGTCCACCTGAACGCATCCTTATCCCCCCTGGTGCTCTTCAGCAGAATCAGGTTCTCATCTGCAGGTCAGATGGGCCCTAGTGCCAGGGAGAAATGCAACAGTAAATTTGAGGAGAGGCCAGGGAGAAATGGGATTACGTCATCTAGGATTACAGGACATGCCTGAGAGCAGAAGAGAGCCCTTTATCTTGGGAACCTGAAGCTCGGGACACCCTCAAGTCCTTTAGTGCCAGTCACTTTTGTTTCTGAAAAAAATTAAGTGAAAAGATAAACCCTTCCTATTGTGCACTTTTTCTGGTAAGACAGGGACTCAAGGTTACTTGATAGTCACTGGCAATCGCTTCACGGTCAGGTTTCACATGGACAGTGTCGACAGCACTTGCACCACAGCAAGGTCTCCGAGTTCAGATCAGTGTACGGCGGGGCAAGAAGGCAGTCTGGGCTTCCGGCTGCAACTACAGTGCTCCTTCCCTTGTTTCCAGACCAAAGAAACCGACTCTCAGCCACTGGACAATCATCGTGAGAGACCTTTTAGGGCAAAATTTAATAGTACGAAGAGGTTTACAAAAATAGATTGATGTTATTTTGAGGAATAATACTGTAATTTTTTTTCTCATTTCAGTTTTGATAAATTGTACCTAATCATACAAAAATTACCCCAAATTCAAACTTGATATAAAAAAGAGAGAGATGAAATGAACTCAGCTAGATGACAGATCTGGCAAAATATAAGAATGAAAATTCCACGTAGGGCACTTGTTCGCGTCAGGTGGGGAAGCGACAGTCCTGGAGCGCTTCCTGTGGTGGCAGTGGCAGGCGCAAGTTCAGATCAGCAAAGGCTCCTGCCCCACGAAGCTCAGGGGAGCTGCTTGTCCTGGGCGGGCCCGCTGTGTGTCTGCCGCATGTCTGTGTGTCTGCGATCCTCCCCTTCCACTCGTCTGGAACGGCGTGGTGACAAGGGTGCTGCTGGCCAAGGGCGGCCTAGACGTCCTTGCCAACGGGGTCGGAGGGCTTGTTGAGCTCAACGCGCACGCCCTTTTCACCTGCCAAGGAGAGGAGGCACACTCAGCACGCGGCGTGCCTGACACTGGGCCAGCACCTCAACTAACCTCACGCTGCCCGGTGGGCTCTACGGGACAAGCACTTACTCGGCAGCAGACCTCTGAGGGCGGAAGCATCCCCTACACAGAGGTGGTGACTGTCTCCTAGTGTTCAAAAAGCCACTGGACTACCTTAAAACCAAGTGATACTGGAAGCAAATAGTAGCTTTAAAAATATACAGAAAATGTGTGAATGTTGGGTTTTTATGTTTTAATAAAAGGCTGAAGTTGGATTACCAATGGCCCACAGAAATACTGTGATCAGGACGCCAACATGGAGCCCATTATTAGAGAGGCCAAAAGGAAGATGCCACCTGGAACTAGGACACGCTGCTCAGGAGAGGGGCCCATGGGGGCAGCTGCGCCAGGAGGGATGCGCAGCTAGAGCCAGGGTGCCTGTCTGCTGTGCAGACTTGGTTGGGCCTCCCACTTCACCTCCCTGTGCTGGCTGACTTCATGTTCTTTAGAGCATGTGCCTTGAGAAAGGGCATGAAAGGAAGCAGGAAGCCTGGCACTAGGAGGTTAGCAGCCGGTGACTGAAAAGGACAGTCACAGAGACTCGGCTTAGCTTGAATGACTTCCTCGGAACTTGCCTCATCCTCGGAAGGTTTTGCTGGGTAAAAATAAAGCGAAGCCAAGCACTCTGGCACAGCCCAGAATCCCTCAATTTGAGAGGCTGACACAGGAGGATTGCAAGTCTGAGGCCAGCCTGGGCTACGGAGAATTGATTCAAAATAATAAAATATAAAAAAGGCACAGGGGTGGGGTGGGGATGGGGCTCAGTGACACAGCCCTCCTGGGTTCCATCCCCAGTACCACAAAAAAGATGACGACAAGGATGACTTCAATCCTTTTCAGGGCTAGGGTGTAGCTCAGTGGTAGAGCGCTCCCCTAGCACATGCAGGGCCTGGGTTGGATCCCTAGCACCACACACAGGCGTGGACACACACACTCACACACTGCATGCACTCATACACACAGGCGTGCGCACATATACATACACACACATGCTGCACACACTCATACACATGCGTGTTCTCTCTCTCTCTCTCTCTCTCTCTCTCTCTCTCGTACACACACACAGAGTCTTGCTTTAACCGAAGGCATGAAGGACCAACAGCATAGGGGGTGCTCCCAAGTAAGCAAAGTTCCTGGGCTTTCTGCACATGCCCCCTGGTCCCAGGCATCTCTGCATCAGAGCTCCCTGGCCCCAAATGACGTTACCTGTTAGATATTTTACTTTAGCTCGAGCTCGCTCATCTGCATCAAAATACCAAACAGTTATTGCGTACCTAAAAGAAAATTCAGAATAGAATAAGAATGGTCACAAGGGGGACAGTGGTATGCGCCATGACGACAGGTCAGCAAGTCGCCACGCCACTGTCGTGCCTGGCCTGGACGACACGAGGCACACGGGGTGACGTGCCGTCTCGCTCACCAGCAGCCTGAGAGTGAGAGTTCCTGCCTCTCCTAGCACCCCCGAGCCAGAAGCAGGCAGAAAGGGGGCCACCTGAGTGCCACAAGGAGAGGGATGACCCCTGCACACCGTGCTAACAGGGACAACCCAGAGGCCACAGCTAGGATTCACAAGGCACTGATAAGCTTCTGCGGTTTTTACCAAAAACCATCACACCGTGTTTGATGCCTGCAGTTTGGCTGAACTTCATTTTCCTGAAAGACTTCTCAGGACTTATTCCACACACAGATGACAGACTCCTGGCTTACTGACCATCCAGTGCACACAGTTCCACCCGCTGGGAACACACAGGGACATGTACAGGAGTGAAAACATGCTCCAGTCCCCTTCCCCAGGATGATGCTGCCATCGGCGGAACATCTTGTGGATCCTGGCCAGTGTTCATGGGGGAGCAACACAGGCCAGAGACAGACAGCAAATTATCTGAGAAGTGGTGCACCGCAGAGCCACCAGCAGCTCTGGGGACACTGTGGTGCACAGGTCTGTCTGCAGCCAAGGTCCCAGGTGAGACCCAGGCTCCTGGCCCCACCCTCCCTCGTAGGGTACCACAACCCTTCTTACCATAAGCAGCTTCTATTCTCTTGGGCAGCCGTGGTACCCGGCAAGGGGTTCAGATGGATGATCTTGCCTTTTGCTCATGCCCTAATCTATAACTGCGTCATAACTGGAGTTCTGATGACTACACCCAATCCCTGAGAGCCCCAGTGCTTACAGAAAATGCTGCAAGCTACCACCAGTCATTGTCCTCCCCTGGAGTGCCTTTGAGAGTCCTGTGTTCTCCTGGGCTGCCTGCCATGCCCAGGTTGGCAGCAGACCACCTGCCTCCTCTGCCTGGCTCACTATGGCCTTCTCCTCCTTGCCACTCCTAGGCACTCGTCCTCCACACCACCTGGCATTTTTCACTACCCAAAATGACTCTCATTTCTTCATCTAGGTGGTACATTATCCAGCTAAACTCAGACTCCACAGAAAGGAAGGCCTGTGAAGCAGATCCTGGGTCAGGATTAGTCAGAGAGCAGTGGGGGTGGAGGTGGGGTTCAGCAAGCCACCAATGCAACCCCATCCTCACTGGGGTCCAGTTATGACGCCACACACCACCCAGCTTGCCACCCAGTTTGTGAAAACGCGTGAATTTTGAATTTTTTATGTTTTAATAAGGATAAAGTTGGATTACCAGTGGCCCATGGAAATACAGAGGCAGCATGGTCAGAAAGGAGGGAGGGTGCTAGAGCACAGAGGACGCTGAGCACCAGCAAACCCAGTGTCCCATACAGGGAGAGGCAACCCTGCTGGGGCCAGCACACCTCGCCCAGCCCCCACACTGGCCGGTCAGGGCTACAGTTTCACCAGAGCATGCAGAGCCCCCTCCTTAGCAGGGAGGAAGTATCCAGGAAATAGGACTGTCTTCTACCAATGCGGACTTTCATAAGAATGTCTGAAGAATCTTCTAGTCAAACAATCTACACCTCTTAACTGAATCACACATGGTAAAAACAGACCACATTTAAAGAATGCATTAAATGTAACCAGTTCAAATGCTCCCCTCTGTTGAGAAGCCCAGGGAGCAATGCTGCTTACTGGGACAGCCATGCAAGTGCCCGCCATTCCACGCCCGCCTCCTGCATCCCCTTTCCTCCTCATTTCCACACTGGTCACCTCTGATTTTTCTACTCTTGTCCATTTTCCCACACTCCCTCTTTTTGGTCTCTTTACCACCCCTGAAAACCTGCCTTTTGCTTCCCTACCTTGTATGCTCAAGTGAAATGTTCTCACCAAGGGACAGACAGCAGGCACACAGAGCAGCCAGGGCTGGGGATGGGGAGGCCTGTGCTTCCCGTCCTGCCCACATAAAGAGACTGCCTCAGACTGAACACTTTGTGTCTGGGCACAGCGTTCAGTACTAACTGGGGATAACCCCACACAAGGTGATGATGGCGTGATGGAGGCCTGGCGAGTCAGAGGGACCCGTAGGAAGCTCCCCGTTCAACCTGCCGATCCCTGCCCCACCACACCTGGGTGCCATTCACCTGCCGTCCTCTTCCTGCCCCACCACCCTGACCATGCTTTTGTAAGGGATACTACCTTGTAGCATATGCTGGTTGTACTTCATGAGGGTTGCGACGGTCAGACCAGAAAAACAGCAGTCTATCAAATTTGGGTTCAATGTCAGCAAACTGGGCTTTGCCTTCTGGAAAAATTCGAAGTATCCCTCCACTTACCTAGGAAGAGAGCCAAATGTGTGAGTACAAACAGCAGAGGTGCTCCAGACTGAACCCAGAGGGAAAAGGCTACCTCCCATGTCAAACTCGGAGCGGGATCACTCAGGGGTTATCTCCGTCAACAAGGTGCAAAGGTAAGTTGGGCTTCTAGGGGCCTCACTGAGGCAATGACAACCCACCCTGGCCTTGGGATCTTTAAAGACCTGACGAAGCCGACAAATAGTATGACTTCAAAAGCCCTCAGATGATTCTTGAGAGTTTGAAAAGCAGTGAATATGACTTATTTATAAGCTAATGGCTGCTCAAGACACCCTGATGGCTGGTCAGCAGTGAGTGACCAAAGGGCTCCCTCTCTCACATAACACTGGGTTCCACAGCTTAAGGACACTTGCTGGGACAGTCACACACTTAGTGCCTCCTAAGAAGCTGCACACAACCCCCAGTCAGGGTGCGTGCCGTGTCCCGCCGCTGGCGGCCGCCAGGAGGGGGTGCCTGGCGGTCCCTTCGAGGTGGGGCGTGTGAAAAAAGAATAAAAAAATAAAATAAAAGAAGCAGCACACAGGGCAGAAGTGGCTCTGCTCTTTGTCACCATCAGCCCATGGGCTCCCTGTCCAGGCCAGACGACAGGTGACCAGTGCCCTCAAGGCCAACCCTAAGGCTGTTCTTATTTTCCTGAACACACCACTCTCTGTCTGAGGTCATCTCAGTGTTGACTGAGCGTCAGCTGCTCTGGGAGCCATGTGGCCCCAGGTGAAGAGCAGGGGACAAGGCAGAGAGCCCAGGCCCCTGTGTTTTACTTTAGTAAAAGGCACCCACCAGGGAGCAAACCCAAGGACCTGCGCCCATAAGCAGGAGGACCTCCATGGTGGGAGGGAGCTCTAACGCCTGGCATAGACCATGGCATGGCCGAGCACAGCAAGAACTCCCCCGGAAAACCTGCTGTGCTCCCAGAGGATGTGCCCAGGAGGCTTGTCCCCAGTGACAAGGTGCCAGCTAATCGGATCCTGGCCCGCCTCCCTCAGGTCCTGTTGTCCCTGAGTCCCTAGGCATCAGACTGGGGCAGAGAACATCCCTTTTTCCTGGGCCTCCCCTCTGGGGACAGTTGCTGGGCCGGGGCAGGTGCCTACCAAGACCCTGTAGGAGCAGTGCTGGCCAACACTTCCACTCTTTCTTGGGAACCTCCTGATAGCCCAGCTGGCTGTTCCTGGTCCTCTGCTGAACTGTGCGCCCTCCGAGGGCTGTGCCCTTTCTGCTCTGACCCAGCTCCCAGGACAGCAACTGCACACTGTCTACTCTCAGGGCCCACTCACAAGGCATGGACTGCTCTACTCACAAAAACTCCACAGGTGGCTTTCTGCCTGTGCACGAGTCAGAAGCATCACGGCCTGACTAGGTCACAAGAGACAGAGCCCCTAACAAGATCCAGAAGCTAGGTGTTGGTTGAACTTGTCTCTGGCTTCCTGTTAACCTCAAAATCTGACCAGAAAGTCAATCTTCAGGTTCTGCCTGAGGCCATGCCACCTGCTCTGTGTCCTGGGCTTGAGGCGAGCCACCACATGAACTTCCCATTTCAAACTCAGCGCCGGGTAGCGGGACCAGGCTTGTGACATATGCTACAGAATCTGCTTAGCAGTGGACTTCCCTCCACCTTGAACTTGGACCAGGACAAAGGGAGCTCTGAATCAGAACATCCTGGGGGCAGCTGCAGCCCCAAGAGCACCTTCCACTTGGACCTGCTTCTCGGGGACAGGCTCCACACACCCAGCACTGGGTCACCTCCCTGTGTGCACTGGGCAGCGAGCGATCTGGGCTCTAAAGGCTATTTGGTTTTTAAAATCGCCCTGGCTACAGAAGCACGTTCACTCTATGAAACTCTATGACCTGCAGGACGCATTCACTTTTCTGTTAAATGTTATTCTTTAGATTTTAAAAAATCACCCAGCATAGTCAGTTGAAGCAGCCTGCAATGCGGGAACATGTGGCATGTCTGAAAATCACCTAAGGTTAACGACATGAAAGGAACACACATTTAAAACAAGAGCTCACTCACGCCGAGATTCTACCCGGCCTCCCAGGGTTGTCAGCCTGAAGGAGGGACACAGCCTCGCCTTGGCCTGCAAGGGCAGCACTACATGCCTTGGCCAACTCAGAGCAGCTGGTGCTTCCTAAGGACTGCTGGTGATCACCACCAAAACCCTGACAAACAATTGTTCCAAGAAGTGTTCTTGTAAAAACTATTTAAAGGAAGTTATTTTAATAAGGTCACTTTTGTAAAAGTTAAAATTCTAGATAGATCCTTCACTATCTGGAATAACAATTCATTTTTAAAGATATAATAGTACCTTTTCATGCAGCCTTATTGAGGAATAATCAATACACCAAAAGGTACCCATATTTAATGAATTCCACTGGATGGAACAGGACACAACATGCAGGGACCCAAGGTCCAGGGGCGAAAAAATCCCTTCCTCCCAATACTTCCAGGGTCCGCGGCGCCCCCTTTCTTTTCCCATGGTGAGAACCCTGAATACGAGATCTACTCTCTTCACGTTCTCGCCTACAGCACTGGAGGTCAGCCCGGGGCCCTCATGCCCCAGCCCCTGCCCTTGGGAGGCTCAAGTGCACAACACCATACTGTCACCTACAGGCCCTCGGTGTCTGAGACACATCAGTATCCAGTTCCAAATACATTCACACTTGTTTCAATTTACAAAACTCCATTCCTAATACTGGGACTGAAGCAAATTTAAGGGAGAATCTAATTATCCCACGTGTTAGACAATGTGGCCCAGGGGAAGCATGAACGTTAATATGTGTGAGAAGACAGATGCTCGATGAGGCTGCATACCTTGGCGTCCCAGTCTTTATTCAGATAGTATATGCACGTCACACATCTTCCATCTCCGTTTGGGTTATCAACGTGCCGCACGTAACCTGTCCCATTGCCGGGGTAACAAGCAACCATGGCCTGCAATAACGAAATGATTTAAAGTCCGTGGATGAACAGAAGGGATATGAAACCCCTCCTCAGAAATAGCTGCTTCTGTCCAAGTCACACTCTTGACGGACAGAAGGAAAGCCTTTCTACCACTGGCCCTCATCAAGAACACAGGACAGCTGCACCATTGTAGACAGCACCCTTGTCCCACCATGGAGGTCAGAAGCCAGCACCCTACTCAGAACAGCACAAGGCAAAGGGTTTTAGGGCCCCACATCCTGACTTTCCCACGTACTAAGGATCAAGGCCTGGCAAGCTGTCCTGCCCCTGCGGGTTCTCTCTGAGCTGCCTCAGGACACTCATTCATCTGACAGGCGGACCCTCCCAGAAACCCCGATGCTCTGGAGGGCACCAGTTCGGTAGGCACAATCCAGACTGTCAACTAAAGTATCAGTCCACGTAATGTCAGTGATTAAAAAAAGAATAAACTAATTCAGCTGTGACTAACCCTCTTCAGATCATTAGACCATTTTTTGGCTCCATTTATAACACTACATACTGCAGAACCCTGGGGGGGGGGGAGTTACACAGAATGAGGGAGAGCCCCCAAACAGAACCCTCCAGGTGTATGCATAAAAGTCAGTCGAAAATGGTAAAGTCATCTGAGAACAATTCCCAGGAATTATCAGGAAAAAAAAAAGATGCTCAAGGTGCCAGTTGCTCTTGAAAGCCCTTCTTCAGGTATTGGAGCGGATGGACCAGTGCAGAGCTTTCGAATGTTAAATTACTGTACCAGGACATTTAGGGCAAAGGAGGTTGATTTTTAAAATTCACGCTCCGCTGCCCAGCTACAGCATCTTGGTGGCTACATCTCTGAGAATCCTTTGAAACCTCACTTCCTGGACCTACTGCTCCTCATCGGCACCTGCTGACCACCCGACACCATGCCTCTGCTCCTCCTGACTCTGCTGGCAGCGCTGGGGAACAGCGGGGAAAGCAGCATGGCGATGGCAGGCTCAGGAGCCCCCGGGAAGCAGGAGCCTGTGCCATTCTGCATCACCAGCTGCCAGAGCCAGGCTCCCAGAGCAGACCACAGACAAGGGCCAGAGGGCGCCAGAGGGACAGTGTGGCTGGCCTGGGTGCTCTTGGCTCCCAAGACCAGAAGCCCAGACAGGAGGCCAAGACCTCTGTACAGCAATCTCCTCTGGGACCATGGATTCAGGCCTCTGCCCGCCCCCCTTGCTGAGAAGGAAAGCAAAGTCCTCCCTCCACTCCGCACCTGTGTGCAGGACGCACACCAGGCCCATGTGGAGGATAAAACAAAGTCCTGCACACAACCCAACCCTAGACTCTGCCTCTGGGTGGGCCCCTAGACACATGAGGAAGCTAGGCAGTGGGAAGCATCTCTCCATAAGATGACAGGAGCCCAGCCTGGGCAGGGCAGCCGCAAGAGGCCGGAGAAGGCACCAGCCCATTGGCTGCAGGCCTAGGGCAAGCCGAGATGAGCACCGTGGATAGCACTCTGAAGCGTTCAGAGTCAGGGAGGAGCCGTCTAACCTCATGTGACCAGGAGGGCTATGGCAAACCTAGCATCACCTGCACGGTACCAAGTGGGGCCCACCGCTCACCAGGCGCCCCACGTGGTTCACACGTGACAACTGAGGTGACATGGACGAGGCCATAGCTACCACCTTCAAGAACTCAAAGATAGCCAGGGGGGAGGTCGTGAGCCAGCAGACATGTGAGTGCAGGAGGCTGGCGCTGGAGCCACGTGCCCAAACACCACAACCTCAGGCCAGCCAGCACCAAGACCACATGGGCTGCAAGTTCCAAAAGGAAATGAAGGAGGCCAAGCCCAAGAGAATGGCCAAGAGGATCTTCTGAGGGCAGAGACCACAGGTCTGTGAGGGATCCAGATGGAGGAGTCAGGGAGACGCCAGGCAGCTGTGAGTAGGCAGCACCCAAGGTGAGCACATCCAGCAAGGCACCAGGACCTGGGAGCCAGGAGCTTCTCAGCAGTGATCAGGAGGAGCCCAGCACCCCAGAACAATTGTGCCAGGTGGGGACTGGGGCCACCCTGGGAAATGAGAGGCCAGATGAGGGCCTGCCTGACCATCCACCAGGGCAGGGTGTAGCTGTTTCCTACACCTAAACTCCAGGTGAGACTTTAAAAAGAAAAGGCACACGTCTCAGACTCGTAGAGTACGTTGAGTTCCCCAGTCCCTGACGTACCTGGTACCTATCTCTACACGTGCTTCTCAGAGTTGCCACCGCCACCTCGTCTCTTCTGCTCTGGGGACACTGAGAACACGTCAGTAGAGGGATGGGGCACCACCGGGCTGCATTTAACCTGCCAACTCCACCGGCTTCCAATACCAGTCTAGGAAAGGCCACGTGGTGGCTTTGTCAAAAAACAGAGCAAGCACAGCACAGCTTGGTGCCAGAAGACGAGCAGCGAGGTTAATTCCCCTGAAGTGCTGACGCCACAGCCTTCATCTGCCACCTAGTAGGGACACCAGCCTTTCCCCATGAATTGCTGATGTCACAGTCCTCATCTGCCACCTGGCAGGGATACCAGCCTTGTCTACCTCAGCTTCCTGTGGGGAAAACCTGCTCCAACCTGCGAGACATACATGACCTGTCGTCCCCCTGTGCATGAGAACACGCAGGACAATAGTGCATCTTCAAGACCAGAAACCGCAGCTCTGCTTTGCACTCCAGAACCGAGGGGAGGACGAGCCGCCGGCTGTCCCTCTGGGGTCGCAGGCATTACTGCCCGCACCAAGGTGTCCATGGGAGGCTCAGCGGGGAGACGGGCCTGATAGGGCTGCTGCTCCAGCTCTGGTTGGGGCTCTCCCACTTTCTGAAGAGAATTATTTAAAAATAGAAACTGACAGCTAAGAGGACTACACTGTGGTCACCAAGCCACGTCCACCCTGAATGAGGGGAAAGGTTCAGATGATCCTGCTCATACAGGCTGCCTAGGCACCAGTGCAGAGACCCTCCTCTCACTTCCTCATGGCCACCTTCAGGGTCAGGCACCAGGAATCTTCCCCATTCACAGATGCCCAGCAGGACCTCTGCCAGGTTGAAAGGGCAGAGGTGGGACAGGGATATGGGCAGAAGTCCTCCCCAGCTCCTCAGAGGCCTGCATGACTGGGGTGGACCTCACAGCTGGGTTGACCTCACGGCTGGGGTGGACCTGACGGCTGGGGTGGATGGCAGCACAGCCAGCCTGGACACAGGCAGGCCCAGGAAGGCTCCATACTCACCCGCCACCAGCCACAGGCCTACAGAAGTAGCTCCATGAGAGGAAGGTCCTCAGGAGAGCAGGACTGAGGCAAGTGGGAGTTTTCTGCAAGAGTCCTCCCAGTTTAAAAGCCAGGCTCTTTATTTGTTCAGTTTAGCTCAGTCTCGTTTGGTAAAATATACAATCAAAAATGTCACTGAAGTCACGTACTTGCTTCTGACCTCAGTTAGCACAGTGGGTGGGGCTCAGGAGGAGGGACAGGCCACGTGACTCCCTGTTTGCTAAGGAGCTACAATGCTATGAGCAGGAGGAGCACCATGACCACTGGACTCCTGAGCCCGGGTCCTGGAGAGAGGGAGGAGGGCAGGGGAGCAGGAAGGCACAAGCAAGTCCCAGAGGGACAGACCCACAGCAGGCTTTGCAGCAAAAGCAGAGGCAACTGTCAAGAGTGGGCCCTTAGTGAAGCCTTAGAGGCCAGGAAACACGGAAGGTGCAGTGCCTGCTGACTGCTGCACACAGTCCTGGGGACGAAGGCGGAGCGTGGGTGGACTGCAGACAAGCCTCAAAGTACCTTCACTTCATTTTTGCTGGATTGAATCAGGGACTCTATCTCTGGGATACACCCCCAACCCTTTTTACTTGTAAGACAGGGTCTCACTAGATGGCTGAGGCTGGCCTCAAACTTGCATCTTCCTGCCTCAGCATCCCGAGTTGCTAGGGTGACAGGGCTGGCCCTAAATGCCCCATTAAGGAGCATGTCATGTGTTCAATATGCACAAGGAATCCCTCATTTTGGGGGTAAGGGCAACATGGTCAGAACTGTGCCTCAGAAACATAGCAGTGGCCTCTGAGATGGACGTGGGGAAGAGCAACAGGGAAAGACCAGGTGGAACACAGCCTGGGAAAAAGACAGCCCTGGGAAAAAGACAGCCCTGGGAGGGTGGTGGGGGGGGGCCAGAGTGGAGCATGAGAAAAGCCTCAGCAGGTAGACAGGGGCAGAAGGTGTGCCTGGGTCCAGGCTGCAGGGGACACAGGTCTGGGTGGAAGGGCTCATCTGGGGACGCGGTTCCTCTGAGGGCAGCTAGGGATGCCAGTCTACAGTTCTGGGGCCCTGGCTGGAGATGTGGACTTGGGGGCCGTCTTCTGTGGCTGCCAGCAGTGTGAGAGGGCAAGGACACAGGCCCGATTCTGAGGTGCTCCCTGAGGCCAACATCCCCCACCACAGCAACGTGGTGGCCAAGTGGCCGCGGCCAGCGTACCATCACCGACTCCCACCAATGTTTAGCTGATTCTTTTTCTGCTGTGAATGAAGGTCAGAGGAGATTTCCTCAGCCTTGCGCCTGATGGTGGTTTGGGGACTACCCTCCAGAATACCCCGATGCCTCCTGACCACTGAATGACGGGTGGGGAGTCACAACACTCGCCCACATTCCCAGGGGCCACTCCTGCCCACTGGCTCTCAGCCAGGGCCACTGCTGCCTACTGTTGTCAGCCCCAGTAAAAATTTGTCTTTTTAATGTTTTGATTACATCTTACATTTGCAAAAAAAGAAAACCTTCTCACACTTCTTGGCCATGCAACCCTGGACTGCCCACTCCTGCCCATACCCACTTCCTGTCAGCTGCTCATCCTTTCTCTACTTATGTCTGAGAGCTCTTCTGTTCCCAGCTGCCACCAAATAACACAGTGACAGCTTCTGCATCCTTCCTGTGCTCCTGTAGCGTATTTTAATATGAAGTACTTACTTAAGCAGGAAGGCAGATGGCAACCCCACTATGGT